ATTTAAAGGAAGCAAACAAAACACATTGAACCATCTTCACATGTCACCTCTTTCATAATATCACCGACTAACACACTTCAATATATTTTCTCACAATCCTTTGTTATGTTACGTTGCAACTTGCCATTCCAGTCTATTCACCGTTTCATATTTACAACACAGATGTGAAAGCTCCATTACCTTCATGCAACGTTATCTTTCATACATATTATATTTTTAGGCGCTGTACCCTACATTTTTTTCTACGACGCACTCCATATATACACCGTAATTATATTGTATTGTGTCCTTTTATGATTACTACATTGCTATAATTCATCAAATCATTGAGCCTTCTCATTCAATTAATAATTTTTTTTAATCTAAAATACATAAAACTCTCGTGAATTTTGAGGTAGTTAGTTATGACTCTCCTCACCTTTAGATATTTAAAATTAACTCTTATGACTTTTAATTTTATTTTTCAAAGCACCATACTGTTAATTAACTTTGTTATGGTATTAATAAAATTTGCAATGTCATATTAATGAAATATGTATGGCACATGACATGAGAAAAATATTTTTATTAATTTTTTAATTAACACTTTTTAAGAAGGGGAAAATTATAGTTTTTACTTGTAATACACATGACAATGTTCTCATTTTTTTTTTTGGTTGAGTGACTTCATTCTCATTATTCACTGTTGACAAAATTTAAATAAAAAACTATAATTTTATTATTCTTTATTAATTAAAATAAATTTTTATATTAAACGAATAAAAAGAAAAATATCAAAAAGCTTTCATTCATAAAAATTATGTAAATAAAAATTTATCCTTTAATATAGAAATATGTACCATTGATAAGGGAAAAAACATGGATAAAACAAATACAAAAATAAATATTTAAAAAATAATAATATAATTTTTAAATATTTATTATTTGCTTGCATAAAATGTCACATAAGCTTCTATAGGGCTTTTCTTGATCTGACATAACAAACTCTATTAATAACAAAACAAAATTAATAACGGGAGAGAGTTTTGAAAAATAAAGTAAATATTAGATGAAATAATTTTAAATGTTTAAAGGAAAAACGATCATATGCAACTAACTACCTTAAGGTTCAAAAAAGTTATATGCATTTTAGTCTTTTGTTTTTATTATGATTGAGTGCTCATTGGAAGCACACCAACACTTATAATGCCAATTGGTATAGATACTTTCAAGTATATTATTATTCATGTTGTGAATTAATTACCAAAGCAGGCCTTAATTAGTTGTAATGGCAGATTGATCATAAAGGAATGAAGGTATTGCTTCCTTGGGCACAATTTGACCTAAGAACAGGGGGATAAATTATATCATTGTTGTATGGCGAGCAAAACGAATAATCATATCATATTCAAAAGCAATCTAACTAGCTTTACTTATAGTTTTTAAATTTATTTCTGATTCTTATATTCAATATATATATATATATATATTATTAAGGCAAAAATTGCAACTATGATTTTGTTTGTTGATAAATGGCAGTCAAAGCGAGTCATGTACACTAGTTCGGATCATTTAATCATTTATGCCAACTCACACTGACTTTTCATAATTATTACTAATTATAGTTAGAATGTTCTTCTCTTTATTTGATCAATCATGCATCCCTAGCTCAAAACCAACATATTATTATCAAGTGATCATTCAACGATTAAGATTAATTTTAGGTCAACAATCTTTCATTTTTGTAGTTGAAGTTTTATGTTAATCTTATCTCTCAAGTTTATATTGAAATTTTCTCAAACAACTTTGTTTTGGAGAAATCAATATATATGTTAACATGAAGCGTGGGAAAAGCAAGTGGCCTTCAGAAAATGAGGACGAATTTCTTTGGTTATTAAAAATGATGGTATATTTTTGGAGTCTGAAGCTTTATTGCTTTTTTTTTAATAGAGAGATTTGGATAATATTACCCACGAGTAACTAATTAACATACATGATGAATCTATTTCTCAATAGTTATCTATTTTTAAGAATAGCGGATACATACTTCTATATTCAGAAATTTAACAGACCTAAAGCATTATTACTTTAAAAACACACCGCACATAATTTGATGCAAAACTTAAAGTTGGCCTTGACCTTTGCATTAGAATTTATGCAATATTTTTTATATTTAATTTTTTTTTTCCCGAAGCTATCCACACTTTAAAGCATTCAAATTTCAGAAGCTGGCCTGGTGGAATCTGTTATTTTCTGAAAAGCTTAAGCCTTTCACGCTTATTCTATTCCACTCTTTCTTTATCTACACATCTCTCGAATGCTATCCTCTATATATACTAACAGAAAATATATCAATTCGTGCTTTGTATTTATATTATACAATTCTTTTTGGTGGCATCATTGACCAAAAATAGACAATTCTCAGTGTACTTTTGTATTTTTCTCAGAAATCGTTCCGAAAGACGTTCAAAAAAAATCATTTAACTACTAATAAGATCAGAACGGCAAGAAAAGATATTCAGAAATATATTATTTTTATAATTAAATGGAAACGTCAACATTCTATATATATTGTTGTGTCATTTTCGTGTGAACGTTATTTAAATGTATATACATGCAAAACACAGAGATAAAAGGAAAATACAGATAAGATTGAGAACTAAAGATTAGGATTTGGTTGGAAAAGTCTGCTGCTCCTCGTGATACTTACTTGACGTCTTCACTAAATATACTTTGCTATTTATTTAATTTTTACGTACCATGAATAAAAGAAGCGTCACATGCCCTCCCATTTTTGTCCCAAAATGTAAAGCCAAAAAGAATGTCTGCCCATTGCTTTTAGTGTCTCGGAGAACATATCATCGGCAAATTCTACTCCCTATACATAAAAAAAAAAAAAAATTAAGGGATTCTTTGATTTCCTATAAAAAAAATCTATAAAATCAAAATTCATTTCTGTGATTTTTTTTTTGGGCCAGAACATACATATGAATATGATATATGTACTTCAATATATTCATATAATGTATCTAATAAAATATATATCATGATGTTATTAACATATAAAAACACTATCATTCGCGTATTTAGTGTAAAATAATCAACGATGAATGGAAATGGATAATCCCTACCTTTGCTGTCAAATCGTAGTTGACCTAAACTTGCTTGTTAGCTTATTTGTCATCCTTGCGTGATGTTATATTATTGCAGAATTATTAGGTACGCCATATTATTAATTCGCACTGTTTTTGAAGATGATCACATTTAAGGATCATTCAAGTAAATTAATTATGAATAAAGACTCACAATAAGTTTCATTTTAAAAAAGACAAATTTATGTTCTTATTTCAACAATAATTCATTTTATATTGATTTTTGCTTAGATCATTCTTAAATGATATTCTCCCTTGTTTCTATCAGCTTACTGGTTTTGTAAAAGGGAATTATTATTATTACTTTTGTAATAAACAAATATACAAGCCATCCTATATATATATATATATATATATATTTAGGATTATTCATTATTCATTTATTTTCTTGAAAGTATCAAATAGCTTTCTCCTGTTTTTGCTATCCAAGTTATCAAAATAGTTAATTAACTTATTATTTAACAAAATTTCAATACTTAATCAAAGAAAATTTGTTGATAAAATTTTTTATTATGTTTTAAATTATTTTTTAACAATTTTTATAAATTAATAGAATAACATCTGTAGTTTTAAATTTTCATAAAATTCAGCAATAGCTTTACTTTATAAAAATAATTATTTTAAATTTTTTAAATATTATAATATACAAATCATTATATAGTTGAAATGTTCTATCAATTTTTACAATAATAAGTTAATTATATTAAAGGGAAAGTATAGTTTTTGTCAAGGTTTAGAGTGTCAAGGTTGATATAGTTTTTAAATTAAAAAAATCAATTTATGATCAACTTGATATAATTGTAACATCAGCAACATGTTATCAAGATTGACCATAATTATAAGGACAAATTAATTCTCTGATGAAAAATTTACACAAACCTTGTTCCATACTACCATTGATAAAAAAACTTTAGGGAATAAAGACAACATGTTTTCTAGATTAAATTTACTATTTTTTTAAACAATAAAAAAATTTGAACTCTTAATTTCTACCCACACTCCAACTTGCCCATGTTGCCATCAGAAATGGTCCAAGTTAAGATGTAATTAGTTGGCCTATCCGAGGAGCTTGCCATCGTTTGGAATCAACAGAAGAAAAGAAAAGAAATACCTGTAACAAGGTAAAAATATTTATTATATTTTACTAAAAAATAATATTTAGTTTTTATTAATATAATATCTGCAAATGTGAACGCCATTTTTCAATACTATTTATTTATTTTTGACAAAAAAAAGAATTTACTCCCTTTAAATCATAATTTAAATCACTAATTTACATTTTTAAAAAATTGTTAAAATCTTGAATTTCTAAAATTTTATATATCCTTTTAATTGTATCCAACATACTTTCATTAATTACTTAATAAAATAAGTGTGTAATTAAAAATATATAATATTTATTCAATGTTTTATATTTTGGATCAAATAAAATTTTTAAAAAATAACTTAAATTATAATTTTGAGAAGGGGTATTTACTCACTCAGTCTTATTGATAAAAAAAAAAAAAACATACAAGGTGAGTGAAAATTGGGGTTAAAGATAGGGGGAATTACATCTAAATTTTACAAAAAAAAAATTAATTATCACAAAATCTATTGATAATTAAATTAAATTCATTAATGATATATAAACTTTATAGCAATTAATTTATTTATATGAGACTTTTAATGTAATTCTTTCCTAAAGATAATGACGCAGAGGAGAGATTGGTGAATCCATGAGCGATCTGGGTCAGTGGCCAGTCGAGAAGAGATACTCTAGAGGCGTGAGCTTGGCCTAGACGTCAAGTTCACGGACAGCAATCTCCCCAATTCCATCCTATCATTTCATTATTATATATATATATATATAAAAGCCACATGATCTCCCTCTCAAATTTCCAATCCTCACTCCTACTCTTTCTCCTTCCTCCTCCAACTTCCTCTTCATCCTTCCCACCAAAATCAGCTTCCTCAATCCCACAACAAACACCCTACTTACATGTCACTTCACCCCCGATTCTACTATTTTCTCGCCAACCAGACACCTTCCACACAGCCTTTCTCTTCCTTTCCCGTTGAAGCCAGCTTCTGAAACTTCAAACAGAGACGAGTCCTATACTTTTGAATAACAACACCTTATCCTCTGTAAGTGGGTTTTCCAGTCCAGAACTAGGAACAAATTCATGGGTTCTCTTTCCCGTGGCAGTGATTGATCGATCGCTTTTGGGTTGTGTTTGTTTGTTCCTTCAATTTTTCTTTTAACATCACTTCTGACTTCCATTTTTTTTTTTCCTCCCTTGAAAGCGACGGGAATGGCGGAAATTCCAAAGTTGGTGGGTGTTCGTTTTCTGGGTTCTCTCTTAATTTTCTTCGCCATAACTGTTCCATTGAATTTTTGGGTCTTTGTTCATCGTCCTCATAATTTCCACTCACAGATCCTTCCTAACGCTGCTTTTCCAGGACTCGTGTTCTTCTTCTTCTTCTCCTTCACGTAGGGCCACCGAATCAGAACAGAACAGGGCGACCCAGAAAATCTCGGTTTCAGATCACACAGATGCATTTCAATATGCGCCCGAGAAATCTGATAGCTTCGTGATTGACATGGACGCCTTCCCTTCCACCATCAACAAAGATAACAGTTCCAATTCCAGAATTACAGTAAGTTTCTTCTTCTTTTAAACTAATTAAGATTAATTTAATAAAATACTGTACCTCTGTTTCTAAAGCCTGAAAAAGCCATATTTTTTCATTGAAAAAAAAAACAGTAAATAAAAACTTGGCTGAGATAGCACGGTGGTGCTGTCATTGATCAACTTCCAATTAAAGTTTGTGACCATCGGAATAGAATGTCTTTCTCAAGCTTTATTACGATCTCCTCAGACTCTATCCCTCCTCTTGATTTAAAATTAATGAAACGTTGAAATTAGAGCAGCCTTTTAATTAATTAAACCGTCATTCACTTTGTGTAACTCATACTTAACCCTTCACCAACATGCCTTTCTCTGTACTTTTTTCGGCAATTGTATTTTGCAATATTTAAAGCAATTGATTGAATGAATTGAGATTCAGCCTAAATGTTCTCCCTCAATTATCATTCTCTTCGATGCAAAAGCAATTTCTTAAATTTCATAATTTAATCACACACCTCATAGATTTTACTTGGTTCCAGTTTAAATCTTTTTTCTGGCCCAAAAAAAAAAAGTTTAAATCTTTTTGACCAATTTTTTTTTTTTTGTCTTTTGTGTTTTAAAAAACAAAAAATAGTTGCAGAGGAACCTTTCTAGGAAAGGATCTCAGCGTGGGGGCGACAAGAAGATCAATGGCAGTGCTACCCTTCATGATAGGGATAGTTTCCCGACAACAGGCTCACCTAAAGGTACCACATCCCTCGCAAAAATATACAAAAACTCATTTATTGTTCTCTTTCTAATTTTAAAATTACAATCGCATCTCGTAGATGGCCATAGAATTATAATGTCTCCATACCTTAGTTTATGCCCAAGCATAGTGATGTATTATAATAAATTAAATATTAGCAAAACTTAATATTAATATTTCCATCACCAACCTGTAATTGTGTCAGGCCATGGTGGTGTCCCCTGGGTATCAGGTCTCATCTTGTTGTTAATGATTCTACCTTATTATTATAATAATAATTATTATTATAGCCATAATCCCAGATCCACTATGGTTTTTGGAACGACATTCAAGCATGGTTGGTAATCATATACTCACTTATCTATTCGCAATTAAGAATTTTCATTAACTTTTTTGTACTTGAGACACCAACTCTTTTACCACTCTATTAAGTAAGCTTTGCATGTTACCATAGCGTGGGAGAAACTGATTTGATGTCAAAACCAACCACCTGGGTATTCAAGCAACGTGAGAATTAGTTGAAGTGCCCAACTAAAACAAAACCTAACTTTCATAATGGAACTATCTTATCTGAAAATCTATCACAGTAAAACTAGGAAATGCCATTCTGGGTAAACCTCAGTGCGAAAAGGAAAAGGATTTTGGGAAGTGAAATCCTCCTAGTTTGGTACAGGTACAGATTATAAGGGTGTATTAATACCATAACAGTACCCTTAAGTGGGGCCACCAGAATTGGCATTGCCAGAGACCTGAACAAGCTTGTGAGCCAACAAAATTTCTTGTATTAATGTTATCATTGATCTGCAGCTACTCTGGTGGGGTCTTGCACGCCTGAAAAGCCCGGGGCGGTGGCCCTAGGGCCCACTGACCACTTCACCAATTCACAGGTCCATCATCAGATTACAATCACCGCCAGCAATATCAGCACGGCGGCTGCGGCCGCCGCCATTGAGAGCAAAGGAATATCCCGGCGAAACAGTTTCAAAAGGCCTTCTCTCCGGGTCCTTGATCCTAGGAGGGTTCTTCTGTTCTTTGCCACTCTGTAAGATTAAAAGATGCCTTGATGCTATACAGATCCATTCGTGGCCTCGTCTCTTCCTATTTATATTCTCTCCTGTTCCTAATGTCTTTAATTCTGCTTAAACACAGATCAAGCATGGGAACTATGTTGCTGATATACTTCACCCTTACAATCAGCAAGCAAAGTGATGAATATGGGGTTGATTGGCAGCAGTGAGAGAAGCAGAAGATCCTGAAGTGAAGATAAGTTAGAAACCACGGATTAACGATTGACCATTTACAAGATAAGTATCACAGAAGAAGAAAAATCCTCCGAAGTCATAGTTAGCAGCCAGATAGTGCTAAAAATTAAAATTCACAAAAGCGGATGTTTCAGTGATGGTGAACCTCGTTGCCACACAGATCACTCAGTTCACCTAGTTTTCGTTGCTTCTTTCTACAACCAAATGATACATCATTGTATGTGTCTAAAAATTTTCTTGCAGAAGAATTACTGCCAAAGGCAGAAAAAAGCATCAGTTCAAAGAAGATTAAATAAACTGCTGGAGTTTCAGAAAAGCCAATCAAATTTCTATCACCACCTTGACGTCAAAATCAGTTAATACTCGGGGTTCATCTCCTTGGCAACTTCAAGATATCATTACAAAGACATACTGCAATTCGACTGAAACACGGAATCTTCGGTTTATAGGAATGGGAAACAACAGATGACGAGAAACATATTCCATTTAGAAATATATGTCGTGTTTGTTAGTATTGCACGGCTGAGTGAAGGATTAGAGTCACTGTTGTTCTCCCTAGCTCCTGTATTTAGCCTTGATTTTTCCTTCCTTGGATCTTTCTGTTCTGTTCTTTTGTATTTTGTTTTTACGCGATCCTAATAGTTGGTGAACCTTTTTTGAGTTTGTGACTTTCAAGTGAGCAAATAAAAAGAAAGGTGAGAACAAAATTATTATTGAGAGCTACCATCAAGCGTTTGCGCGGACAGAAGGCATGTGAGTTCGAAAGCTTTTAGCTTTTTGTCCGAAATAGGGCCCTCCACAATTGCTTTTCCAGGAACAAAGAATGTTCCTTGGTCTATGGAAGCTTTTAGTATTGTCATATATTAGGTATGAAAGATCAAAGTTACTTCGACCAATTTTAGATGCAAAGTGCTAGGCACCAACTCAATGCGCCTAAGACAATGCTGGTCACCTATTTAGCTTGAAGATTAAGGGCACCTTTCCCCTTATCGATTAGATACGTGATAATTTTAACTGACGAAGAAATGCCACCAACATTTCTATCAAAAAGAGAAATGCCACCAACGTTCACTAGATGTATGGATTTGCAGTTTCACAGTTGACGGTTCCCACTGGATTCATCAAAGCGAACATCTTTTTAGTAGATGTTTGGCATCTGGACCGATTAAGATACTGTTCAACTTTTGACATGACAGAGTAATAAGCATTCCTATTAAGAACAAGCATTTACGAATCAAAACTTAAAATTGATAGTAACATTTTACCCTCCAGTGTAGATTGGAATGAATTAATAATAACATTTGTATTATATAACTATACAATATACAATTCAAGAATTCACAACTCGTGGTCTCACATCAGGTAAACCAAATTGTCACCTCTAGCTAGTAGCGTTTTGAGATCCTTGGCATCGTGAACTTTTGCTTCCTGTCATGGTAGAGCCTCAATATAACTGCTGCAGTTTCTTCTATTGCTTTTCCCGTCACATCTGAGGTGGGAGAAACAAATTAAGGTTCCATTAGTGACAAATTGAAACAAGGAAAAAAAATTACAAAAATTGCTATTGTATGATTACGTTATTTTTACAAATAAAAATTAATAGGAACGTGAAAACAGTGAGACACAGAAATGGAAACACGATGGCGCTAGATTTCTTACCAATCACAGGCCAGACAGGGTTTTCAGCAAAGAGTCTTCCTGCAAATTCCAGTTCCCGTCTAACATAGTCCATCTCTGAGTAATTACTCCTTGATTCTGGACTGAGTCCAAGAGTTCTAGCCCTTGCTTTCCTAATGTTCTGTAGAACTAAATGATTTATTGTTAAGCCAAAAACCTTATTTACATCTACCTTAAATAGAGTCTTTGGCATTCCCACACCCATCACAATGGGTACATTTGCCACTTTGTAACCTTTTTGTGCTAGATAAATTGATAACGGTGTCTTGCCAGTCCGTGAAACACCAGTAAGAATAATGTCAGCCTTGGCCAAATTCTGGGGACATGCCCCATCATCTTGCTTGATGGTGAATTCAATAGCTTCAATGCGATGAAAATATTCCTCAGAGAGCGGAAAGTTCTGGCCAGAAGCCCCACGGGGAAGGCCAGATGGTGAAACCCCAAGATGGGAAGCAATTTCTTCTATAATTGGACCTAATACGTCAGTGGATGGAATGCCCCATAACTTGCATGCCTGCTTAGCATATCCAGCCAATGAAGGGTCAGCTAAAGTATAAACAACCATAGCACCTTCCTTGGCTGCCTGCTTTATGATCTCCACTAATTTCTCCGCATCATCAATCTGATAACAACTGAGTAAAATCAGCACCAAGCATCAACATATATCACAGTTGAAAAATATGGTAATCCCTCTGGTCCTAAATGCAGAGATAAATAATCAAATTAGAGAGATTAAGAAAAAAAAAGTTAAGTAGGTTATTTGTCAAAAAACTGTGTTAGTTACCCTAAAAAGCCCCATTTAATCATTAACATTGAAAACTATTCCCATTGATGAAACCCCTTTAATATGTGCAATCAATAGAGATAGTTTTGGGGGAATTTGATGCAAAGTAGATTGAGTTCTTACATTTAGAACGAAAAAATCCCTCGACTAGCTCCTAGGAACGGGGAGTATTGTTTTTATTTTCTACTGCTCCCTTTGCTTTGAATACCCCAGATGTTAGCACTTGGTTAGATTTTTCTCCATGTGCGCACTTAGTTAGAGATATAATGCATGGCACAAGGACCCAAATTAGAAGATGTCAAATTTACCACTAGTTTTTTGGTGTCATTTCGGAGGGTAAGCTCCACCTATCGCCAACCACATTACTGCTGACCATTTTGCTCCAACTGCAATTGCGTACGAGATGACGACCCAAAAAAAAAATCTACCTTTCATTTTATACACCAACCCTGACCCCCAATTTTTTTTTTTTTAAGTTTTACCAGAGACTTGCCCATTAACCAGATTGCACAGTTTCAAGTTCCAGAGAAAAAAACAAAAAAGAAAAAAGAAAAGGGGGGGTTGATAGCGCCTCTAAGTAGAGAATACTCTGCGGTCTATGAAATGTTACCACAAACCCAAAACAGAAATTAAATCGAGTTTGGTACTAAAATTATTACTAAAAAGTCGCAAAGGAGAAGTGACAAGACGAATTACCCCAGAAAACAAATGGGTATTGACAGGGCATCCATGATCGACCAAGCAGTAATCAAACTGACCCAAGGCAGCGTTAACGCAGTGCTCGGCCGTCCAACCGGTTCCGTCCGAGACTATATAAATGGACTTGGACACCCTCACCTCCACGCCCTCCACAACGTCGATATCGGACGCATCTGAATCAGGCGACAGAGTGATGGGAGGTAGAGAAGCATCGGGTTGGAGGGTCTGAATTTGGGGACTAGGACGGTCCAATTTGCGGCCGGAACGAAGAGCTCGAGCCCTGGACCAACGGTTCAGCTGAGGGCTGCCTTTCAATCTTCGACTCGGCGACTCCGATGCTGCTTCCGGTTGGATTTGGTTGTTGTGGCCACACCCTCTGATTTCAAGTACGACAGCTCCGATGTTTGCCCATAATTGCGAAACCGCCATCCCAACCGTTCCCGCGTTCACGAGTGTCTTAGAGTAGCGTCGCGTCACATATCAAAATATCTCAGCGTCGCTTCACCCCAAAACACTGCCTTCCTTTGATATTTTTGTAAAATTTTGTCAGATACTGATTTTTATAAAATTTTGTTCTAAAATAAAATGGAAGAATTTTAACAAAGATCAATTGACCACGTTTGTTTAAGTTTAAAAGTTCTTAAATTTTTAAAATTATACTGTAATCCGTGATACTAATTTAATATTGAATTTTTGAAAAAAAATAATAAAATTATTCATTATTTAAATTAATATTAAAACTTTCTTACTTTATTTGTTAATTGTCTTATTTTACTTATTAATTTATTTTCTGAATTTTGTTAATTTTTTTACTTAACTTGTTTTTATTTTATGTGTTTAAATTATTTTAAAACAACTTATTGATTCATATATTATATGTTATTCATTTATTTATAAACTATTATTTATTGCTATACTACACTTATTCATTGTTCTACTTCATTTATTCAATTTGTTCATTTGATTTCATTTTAAAGAATTGAACAAATAAAGTAGGGTAATTAATAACATTCTGTAAATACATAAATAAGTAAAGTAAGTTAATTATTAAGTGAAGTAAAATAATTTTGATATTAATTTAAAGGAAGAATAATTTTATCATTTTTTAAAAAATTTAATATTAAATTAGTATCCATAAACTGCAGTAAAATATCAAAAATTTAAGAATTTTAAATTTAAATAAATTTAATTAAGGGATCTTTATTGAAAATCTCTGAAATAAAATTTTAACTTAAAATCGTCCATATGCTAATCCATAATCAAGGTATAAGCACAGAATATCAGTAACTTCTTCATCATTAAAAAAAATAGTTGAAAATTTTATTTTTTTAAAAAAAATATATTTTTAGTTATATTCTTATTAAATATCTTAATAGTAAGAATTGAAAATTTTAATGGATCATTTTTTAAAAAATATAATAAATGAAGTAAGTGAGGATATAATTAAATAAAAAAATAGGCATGGGTTGTAAATATCTAGAAAAATGAAGCAAGTGAGGATATATTTTCCAGAAAATGTCAATGGAGGGAATACATGGGCAGATGCAGGGTGATCACATATAATTGTTTTTCATTGTAACATCTCAATTTAAATTTTAATAATTAATTTAGATTAATAAAAGTTTTAAAAAATATTTAGAGATAAGTAAATTAGTAGGAGATGATTATTAAATCGATGATTATTAAATCTAACTTACGATATAATTATAAATTAAAATTAAATTAAAAATTAAATTAATTAAAAAATTTAAAATAAAAAATAAAAAAATAAAAAAAAATATTATTAAATTATTATTATTATTATAGAAAAAAGAAAAGGTATGAAAAAAAAACAAAATGAGAAGAACAAAAAAACTTTCGGCGTGCGCGTGTAATCATTATATTTATATAATGATAATGATAATGATAATAATAATAATAATAATAATAATAATAATAATAAAGAAAGAAGAGAGAGGAAAGAGAAAAATAATTAAAAAAAAATTTGTGGGACCCACATTCATTTTTTTAAAACCACCGTTCTCTTCTCATTTTTCTTTCATTTCTCTTCTCTTTCGTGTGCTATCAGAGAGAGCGTCTGTGAACCAGGTTGTCGATGCAAAAGATCTGAATTTTTAAGGTAAGAGTTTTTGATAGGATATTTAGGGTGTGATTTCAAGCTTTTCAAGACTAAGTATATATTCTAAATTTTTTTTTTAGTCGTCATTTCTCTTTAGTTTCTGATTTTGTGGTGGTAGAAAATTTAGGATTTGGAAAAGGGATGAATTTATGTTGAATAAATATGGTTTATGAGGTTGTTAGTAGTATAATAAATATTCTAGAGTATAAATTTGTTGATGATCTTTGAATTTGTGGCTTATGGATCAAATTCTAGACTAGATCTGAAAATATATGTTGATTTATTGAGGTTTAGATGATTATTTGGGATGAGAAATGAATTATTATGGCTATAGAATTATGATTCTAAGTTAAAGACTTAATTTTTAATTTTTGGATATTTTAGGTGCGAATTTATAAAATAAAAAGAAAATTTTGATAATAGAAATTAGTTTAAAATTTGATTTTTAGATTATTAATGTTTATTGATGAGTAAAAGAGGAGTTAAAAATTTTACTTAATAGTATTAACTTTAGATTTGTATTAAGATTGAGATTAGGAATTTTGTTTTATTTTTAATTTTATTATTAGAATTATTTTATTAGTTTCAAAAATTGAAACTAATGTTTATAAATAATATGTTATTTGTAGATTGTATTATTGGTGAAGATTGTGGTGGGAGAGAAATTATAAAGAATAATTTATTGAAAAAGCCACAAAGTAACGATGCTTTTAATTTATGATTAGTGTTACTTCATGTTAATTGGGTGATTACTGAAAAAATTATGAATTTTTTAATATTGTATAATTTGTGGGAGGTGTTGGGAGACTTGCTATTATTGTTGTATTTATGTGTCACGTGGTACGCCCCTATTGGAGCTCAATAGGTAGCTTGTAAGGGCTCGAGCTAATCTACCTTTGACCGGATAATTTAGCACCAAGTGAGGGCTACGGCTCGAGGTTAATAGAGGGATATAAGGATGGTTGTTTGTATGTATTGTAATATTTCTTATAATTGTTGGAATTATATTATTTTTAATTTTCATTTAATAAGCACACACTTAACTATTTGTATACACTATCATAAATTGGCTTTGGTTACTAAGACTTTTGAGTCTCATTATATGGTTAACAATTTTCAGGAGAAGAGCCATGAATGACACATGGAGGAGTCCCAGAGGCTTAGTGGCATAGATCTACTGTCTCTTTTGGGTATTTGATTTATGATTTATAATGTGTTATATTGCCAATATTAGGGCTTTTTATTTATTGTCAATTATATGAATATATAAATGTAATCATGCCTTTCAAATTATTTCTATTTTTGATACAATTTGGATGACTGTAATTTTAATATTTGGTTTACTTTGGATTGGTTAAAATGGCATGATTATAAGGACAAATAACTGGCTTGTGTTGAAAATTAACTAAATTGCTTATTTTACTTGTTGGAAGTATAAGGATGGACAAATGTGATTTAGTTTACTTGTTGGGAGTATAAGGATGGATAAATGTGATTTAGCCTAATGGCATGTGGGAGGTAAAAATTTATCTGAAATGTTATATTGTGTGAGTTGAAGCTAATTATAAAATATTTTATATTTAAATTATTGATATAAAAATGTGTTGGGTGGCTATAATCCAACTATGATTAAGTTAAATTATTTTTTAAAAAAAAAATTTGGTGTGTTACATTCATTGTGTAAATATCTGTCGTAAATTTTGCTTATTATAAAAAGAACTGACATAATTAATCTTTTGTCATATAAGCTAAACAGATCCAATTTTTAGACAGAATTAAACAGATTTGGATTTAATTGGCTTGGGTTCACGGAGATTTTTTTCAAAGTAGTTGCCCTTGAATTTGCGAATTCGATATGTAAGGAAATATTTTTTTTTTTTAACCCAATTTGATACAAACTGGTCCATCTAAAATAATTTGATATTCTCCATTATATACAATTCATTTTAAAAAAATATGCAACATAAAATACTCAGAACCAGAAGGCATACCAGTACACAAAATATAATTTAATTTCTCATATATATAGATTATTATAGCAGGAACTATGCATTTTCAAAGCCTAGATTACAAAGGAACTACAAAGGGAAGAGCTTCAACTTTTCCGATTGGAGTTTAGGAAAAAAATCCAAATAATTAATATGCAGAGAACATCAATTTTCTCAATCAATCACATGCATACATACATACATATATATATATATATATAAACAGCTCATCAGCTCCATAACACATTAATATAATTTTTCTTTATGCCCATGCAACAGTCATGTGCTCTTGCCCTTCACTCTCATGGCCCATGGATCAGACAATGCTTCCCTTCTGCCGACGATGTCAACAGAAACTCTTCTCCTGTGTTCCAATGTTCAGCAGACAAAAAATGAGACAGCACCAAAATTGCAGTCAGAAATCAGCTTCGTCCATACGTTCTGATTTCGTTTGCACAAACCTCAAATCATTTTGAGAAATAACCTACTTGATGCTTGGATATATATATATATATATGGTTGACGACTATATATATACCTATGCTAGCTAGCTACTAATATTCCTACTCGAATATTTAATTTTCACCATCACCATCATGTAGATTACTATATATATGTATACGATTACTGGATAACTAGGCAGTGGGCGTAGTTTGCATGAGAAATCTTGGAAGGCCAATTTTAGAACCCAAGTTTTGAACATCTTCTCGAACTTGTTGCCTGTATTCCATGAAGCTGAACTTTCTGTACACTGCAGGTTCTGTGCAGCTCTCTATCACTGTGTCGTTCGAAGGACACAAGAAATAAGCAGTAGAGAACCTCTCCACTCGCGTGTTCGTAATTACTCGGTGCTCAACACTCTTGTATGCTCCATTGCTCCATGCCTGCACCACAACATATACACAAGAGACCTGTGATGTTGTGCTTATAAGATATGTTAAATTCAAATGAGTAACAATGAAAACAAAAAATGGATCAAGCTCATCAAGACGAGGAAGTAGATACCTGGAACAAGTCACCAATGTTGATGATAAGGGCATCAGGATTTGGCTTAACTGCGATCCACTTGCCATCTTTCACCAGCTGCAACCCTCCAACCTGATCTTGGTGTAATATGGTGAGGAAATCGCTATCAGTGTGAGGCATCAGGCCATGAATCTCGGAAAACAATGGACATGGAGGATATCGGTTCAATCGAAGATAACAAGTGCTGGGCAAACAATTTTCCTGGAAGAAAGTCGACTTGTGTCCCATTTTCTCTTCCAGAATTTCAGCTAATCTCTGTGCAAGACTTGACACTGTCCTTGCAAACTGTTCTATGGCTGTGCTGCACGTGCATATGTACACCCAACAAGTATTATATTAACTAGCTTTACATACTTCATATCTACAAACAAGATTATCTAATAAAAGCAATTTGCGATTGGATTAAGATGGCACAATAAGATCATGTATCTAATCTTTGTTGCCTAGTTTCAATGAGGATACGTTGGAGTGGATCACATCAGGTGACAAAATTCAAATAAAGTAGCACAGGCACATATGCATACAACATGTGTTATTTTCTGAGTAAAAACCAATTTTTTATTTGTATTGTAAATGCAATGACATGATTAGATGCTTACCATGATCATTATTCTAATTTTCAGTAATATTTATTTGTAAAACTCTTTTAATATTGAAACAAAGTAGAAAAAGTATTGAAATTTGAAAACATCAATGTTAAAAAAATTTAATTTAATATTAATATTTGTATAAAGTGTTTAGTTGTCATTCTGCCTAACTCATTTGTATATAATTATGCTCACATCAAATGCTTGTCGTACAATTACAATGCAATGGGGAGTTAGTGTTATTTATCAAAATACTTGATAGAGTCCTTTATATGTAAATTTCTCCAAAAACTTATCAATATCAGGTGATCATTCGCGCGCGTGTGTGGGCGTACGTATGCTTTTCTCTTCGTTATTGACATTGAGTAATTGTCCCTTAAGCATAGGAATACGTGCCATTCATCTCCTATATGCCTATTTGTTACAGGGAACGCCGTACTTTGCTTATAGAAGCTTTTAGCCTTTTACTAACACCAAGCTTCACTGGCTAGAGAATCATTCAACAGAATGAATACTAACTGAGTAACTTTTACCCTGTCAGCTTCAGCAGCTTGCGAAGTTCACGTGAGAAACAATATGGGGCAGACGAAGTAGGTCAAAAGGAATGAAGCAAATGGCAGGTCATGTGTGCATACAGAATTTGTGAGAACAAGTTTTGGGGCTCGGATAAAAGCAAAACGTGCACGTTTGCGCCATGTGGGGTTAGTGTGTGTGAACAGTTGCAGCGGCAAAAAAGTCTGACATGGCATCTCTTGAGTGCTGTGCTGACGGTGGCACGAGGAGTTGACTATACATAGAATAGAATCGACTTTTCTAGAGGTCGAGTCCAGACAGGGCCCTGTGAAAGCAGAAAGGGCCCCATACTTTCTTGTCTTGAGACTGACACTTGAGCTACATAATATAACGAAGCCTAAAGAAAGAAGAGCAGAGAGGGAGAGATGTGATTCATGTGAACAAGTTCAACTGAGAGCAGGGTAAGGTTGTATTTTGTGCTGACTGCTGTGTGCATACTTAACTGGAGCCACTTACAATTGCCAAAAACGAAAAATGGCTACTGGCATGGGAGTGTCTGAGCCCGGGTTCGAACCGGGGACCTCTAGTGTGTGAGACTAGCGTGATGACCAACTACACCACCCAGACGCGGTGACAGTCGGGATATTGTTAATAAATTAATTAACTACCTACAAGTCAGAGCAAGAATTAATACTCTCCCGTCAAAGAATTATAGAAACATAGTATAACAAATGATTTTTAAAAAAAAATGCCAAATTTTCCATCTCTACAAAGAATTAACAAATTAAGAAGAATAAAGTACATGGGAATGTGATTAGGAGAGAGCAAAACGAGATTAGAAAAACCTCCCCTCACCTCCTTCATTCACTAGTTTATTATGGCAAGTAGATTACTCTTTCAAGAGAAGCACCCAAACTATGGATTGGCATAAAATCTTAGACTTTGAAAACGAAACACACACACATTTCTATTGCTATATGTAGAGTAAACATTACAAAGAGTCAATTAAAACTGGATACTATAGTTAATTATGAAACCATGCGTGTGTGTGTATCAAGAATGGAAGGAAAAAAGTTAAGCATGATGCTGTTACCTGAGACTGTTGGATCCAGTTGAACCAAGTATATCAGTAAGAGGAATATGAAAGGCTTCAGACCAAGATAACTGTCGAATGCTGGTAGCAGAAGGAGCTCCCCAACGGTAAGTACCGGCAGAGAAGTTGAAGAACTCGTCCTCCTTCACCTTCTGCTCAAATGGCTGCTTGAACACCTTCCCCTGCTCAGCCCTCATCTTCTTCAGAATCTCAATGGAAATCCCATGATTTACCACCTGAAAGAATCCCCACTCCTTTGAAGCCCTAGCTATCTCCGTCTTGCATTCCTCCCTCTCCCTCTCGTCCTCACTTTCCAATCGCCTCAAGTCGATCACCGGAAGCTCCCGCTCCTTCACCATCACAACACCAAGCTCATCATCAGCACAACTAACAGAATTGTCTTTAAGGTTTCGGTTCTTGTCGAGGAGGACCTTGAGGGCCTCGTAAAAGGGTGGGTCTGAATTCGATTCCATGCTTGCTTGAGCCTGCAAAAAGAAGAGAGAAGAAGGTGATACGGGATTATAAACAAGCGTGAACGAGGGTTTTACATGTAGAGACAATATAGCATAGGGACAATTACTTTTGGTTTTGCTTTGCTTCTTCTGTTTATTTTTGTCCTTGATGAAAACGTTTTACACTTTGGAGACTAAGGCAGTTTCCACGTCTTTATATGTCGAGACAATCGATTCTCTTCGTCTGTGATCTTTTCTGCACTGTGCTTAGTTGTTTTTAGTTCCATACCATTGCATAACATCCACACACATTTCGAAGGATTTGGGGTAAAAGTTTACAGAGAAGTCGTTCAATATTGGCGGTGATTCGGTCCTTCTGTATAGTTGGAGGTTTTCTTTTAAATATAATCACAGGCTATATTTTTATGACATATATATATATATATATATATATAATTAATTCACCAAAGTTCTTTTTCAAAAAAAAATCTAACTTAGAATTGGGAACACTATTACGGAAGTAAAATAACATTGATTTCAATAAAATAAATAACCATTTTCAAAACGGATTTCGAATTTAATATTTTTTTCCTTTTTGGCCTGAATCTGAATTCTTATTTAAAACTAATCAGAATCTATGAAAATTAAATAAAATCTAATTAATTTAAAGGTATCACTTCAAATAAAAAGTAATTAATTATTCATAAAATATAGAAAAGTGAAAAATCCAAATTTAACTAAATTTTTATTTCTTTATCGATAAAAAATTACATAACAAGTGTACGATTTTTGCAACTCAATATCACATAAATAAATTTTTGAAAGATTAAACTTATTATAATTTTATCAAGAACTACAAAAAGTGTAAGAAACTAAATGACTAACTCCATATAGAATACAGATATTGCACGCACACGTAATGTTTTTTTTTTTTTTTTAATAGAATACAAGCAATGTTTTCTTCGTATATCGCTTGCATATAACTTCTAGGGGATAGCCGATAACTTTATATGGGGGTTCAACTTGGTGTTTTCCTCCACAAAAGGGAAAAAGTGGAGCCCATTTCTTTATGATACAAGATCTTGTACATAGGAAAAAAATAATCAAAACTTGTAGAAAAAGAAATGCTTCAAGAAAACAACCCTTTAGTATTATATTCCAACATGAATATTATTTAACATTTGAGACTGGCGACTTTCTCTAGTCTATATATATATATATATATATATATATCTGTGTATGTGTATATTAGTATATGCACACACCCCATAGGTCGGTGTATAGATCAAGACACGCATTTCCTTTGACAAATCAAAAGTTTACTAAAAATCAGAAGAATTGAGTAAACACTTGTTTCAATGACTTGACGATCTAAAGCTGAATGAGAGATGGTATTCATTTTGCTTTTTTGACATGAATCACATTTCTACAAGCTACTCAAAACTGACAAACTCAGTGTGGTGGATGTTATGCAGGAAGAGAGAAGATTTCTGTCTCCTTCACAGTGTGGCAAAACAGTACAAAGAAACTTCGACAAGGCACGGTAACATTAAAGCGGATATTGGATTCTGAATCATTCGGACATTTCTATCTTGACATCTCAAAAAATCTGTGACTGTTTTGGAGGAGTCTAGATCATCGTCCTTTTTAGTATTTTATTTTCTCGCTCCACTTGGATTCCAAACAAAATCAAAGCTTTGCCATGTTACATGCAAACCCTATGATCTCCTCCTCCTCATTCCAATCCACACCCAAATACAAAATATATAGACAGTAACGAGTATATCTAATAACATATCTACATATTTATTCATGATTGGCTTGGTCGTCTAATTAAAAATTACTCTGCTATTCACAAAACAAGGCAATTAGTATTAATATAATAGAGTGGAAAGCAATAGATTCTTAGACAAAAGATTTATTTATTCTTCCCCCTTTCTAGGTTGATCATGTGGTAGGAAACCACATGTTTGTTGGAATTTGAGAAGGGTTAGTATATATAGCAGCAAGTATATTACTGAAATTTGAAACCCATAATTAAATCTGCTACTGACATTCACATGGTCACATCCCTAGAATCAGATCAGATAGTCAAACCTAGTGACTCGATCTGTTGACTTGTGTGTGTGTGTGTGTGTTATGCATGTAATTAATTAATAATTCCTAAAATGCCATCACAGGGACGAATTGAATGGTAATTACTCACCAGATTGAAGCTGCTCAACAAGCTAGGAGACTCCATCGTGCATCCTTTAACTTCAGAACGGATGGTCTGCATATTGCACTCACCAGTATCCTGCATATATGTAAAAAGCTCCGCTGAAATTTGAAACCAATAAATAAACACGATCTTGAGAAAAAATCCTGAATTCAATGCAATTTATTTTGGATGTCCTTTATCTGACTATACTTGTCTCTTTCACTAGGAACTGAAGAAGACACCTACATGTCATATGTCCTTAGCATCCTGTGGGAACTTGAGATTTAAACAGATCATATATGTGCTGATGGAGAAATGAAGTACAGACAATGAAAGAGAGTACATAAATGCAGAATTCTCATCAGAAATGCAGAAGATATTAATGGCACTCACCTATAGGAGGAGAATGATATGAAGTGGGCTTTCAGCTTGTGAGAAAGTGGCTGCATACTATAATCTAAAGGATTGGGAGAACAATAATTTATAGCCAGGAAAGCCCATCAATTATTGTCATCACACTGATGTTCGTACCAAAGGAAATAGTTGAGGATTGAAAACTTCTGCTCAAGAGAATGACCACGCGGCTCATGGTGCCATCAGAAAAAAAAATGCACATTATATTTTATATTTATGCCAAATTTTTTAAGCATCAATGATATCTAATTTTTTTTTTCCCAAGCAGAAATAACAGGGGACAGTGAGAAAAAGGCTTGTCGACAAAGGAAGAGATGGAGAAAGAGAGACTTGGAGGAATGAGAACCATACTCCAAGAGGAGTCCTATCTGATTCATTGTCAATATGATGAGTGTTGGGTTTACTTTGTGTTGGTCAATTTGACAGCAAACTCAACAGGGTTAAACCAAAAGTGAAATTAAAATCACATGGGAAGATAAATACGTACATGTATGTTTAGTACACTGCAAAGCACCAGTGACTTAACCGTAATCTGTGAGTCCATGTCGGCACACAAACGGGGCTCCATCTTGGGGAGTCACATGCATGTCCTTCTTCATATTTTTCTTTGATTAAATTGGTTTGGAATTCAAATCTCTCAATCTTACACGTGAGAAGTAGTGAGGCTAATTAGTGTGTAGAGGTCAAATTTTCAAAGTAGGCGAGGATGAGAGATTGAGAAAAGAGGCATGTGCTTCGCTTACATGAGAATCAGTTTCAGAGCATAAGCATCTCAAAATGATGAAAATATCCCATTGAGGCACTTCATCAATCACCACTGGTCCCATACTTTACCCCGACAACGACCGACCTTGTTCATATTTTTAAATTTCTGTGGACAAACCAAAGCTTTCCCTGTTGGTGCGCATCTTGACTTGCTTGCTGCAAATGGTAATAATCAGCTTTTAGGATTCAAATCCTCCTAACTGATAATTATTTAAGTGTTATGAAGCAGCAAGAGATTAGGAAAAAAAAATACAGAAGGATGAGTGTAAATATGCAACTATTCTTTGGAATAGGTCCTAGGATTTAAATTCTAATTTTTGTTGAAGAAAGGGGAAATGCAATTCAGCCTCAGGGCAGGGCCCATCATCTCTGAAAAGGATGGGTGTTAAAGCCTAAACAAAGAACAGAGGAAACGAGAGTCTCGTCGGCACTCTGATTTCTTCTGTTTGCACAGTAATGTGAAAGTGAAAATGATAAGAGATGCGCTAGAAGGTTATGAGATGACAAATAGGGTGTCTCGGGCAATGATTAATGAATGAGTAGTGACTAGTGAGAAGCGAATTCTAATAATGGTGTATGATTAACTTTCTAATCTTTCTCCATCATTGAGACTGCCGAAAGGACAGGGAATCAATGAGGAGGTGGTAATTCTCCACTACAAAAATCCAAACTTATCGTTTTTAAATTCTATTTATAATTGTATCTTTTAAAATTTTATTTATTTACATTAAATATTTTTCAATATATTAATGTACTATCACTATTGACATATTAGTCATGTGTGTGTGTATAATCTAAATTAAATTTGATGCGATTAATTTGATTTATGCATAAATAGTGCTATGATTTTGATATTGAGTTATAATTCGACTTTGCGTTTTATTGTTTTGTAATATATGGTGTTTGAATTTTTTTTTAATGTTAAAATTAATAAGTCCCACTAAATATTATTTCCATGGGTTGAAATTTCAGTTCTTCATACTCTATAAACAGTATATTATTCATTTTACAAAGTGTGCAGGAAAAAAAAACAGGAAAATTCATTCTCATCTCCTGCACAAACAATCTATGAATATAAAAAATCTTATAAAATTACAAAATTATTCCAAAATTTCATGTCTTTTATTAAAATTGTTAATTGTTAATTTATAAGAGCTCAAATCTGAACCGCCCAAAGATTTAATGGCTAAAAATTAAGAAGATGTAAAGGGCCATTTTTTGCCCAAATTTATTGACTTGTTTTTTCAAGACAACACTTAATTTGGATTATTTATTAGTATAATGGAGGACAAAATTTTAAAAATTGACATTTTTGACAAAATTAATACACAAACTCACGTTTCTTAAAAAGTGTAAATGCATTTGACTTATACTAGTATTTTGTATTGGAGATATAAATTCTAAAACAACTAACTGAACCATATTCGTTAATAATGTGGGCTTATAAACTTTTTTGTAAACAAATAAATTGAGCAAAGAACACACTTTCATTGAAAAATCATTGGTCAGCGACACGATTCGTTATAAATTGTGTTATAATATAGTTGAACATACACATGTATGTGTTTGGCTAAATTTTTTTTGAAGTTTATTGAATGAGTTGCATGATTCATAATTTATCAAATGATGGAGTTTATTAAGAGTTTTATTATATTTTTTTTAATTATTAATGATACACTGAGTAATAGTTGGTGATAGTGATATAAGAAGATGCGTAGATTTGAGAGTTGAATGAAGCTGATGAAATACTCACATGGCGATGGGATCAGTATTTATATTTTAAATAAATAATTGGAGGTTTAATTCTAAAAAATGAACAATGAAATTATATGAATATTCTAAAGATGATCATCGTCAAGCAATATCAACATGTATATGAAATAATATAAAAACTGTTAAGGAATCTCTCTTATGAATAATGAATAATTAGCTGACAATAAATAAACTAATGATATGAGACGATTGAAAAATAAAAAATAAAATAAAATTGATGCGAAAGAAAAGCACGAGGAGAGGAGGGGGGGCCCACAGGAACAAATACGTTGAATCAAGGCAAAAAGGCAGTTTTGGGGAAGTATAGGGAAGAAAGGGAAATCAAGGAAGTCGGCATATCCTAATAATGAGATAGTAAAAAGGATTAATATAAAAAAAATGAAGAAATAATTATGACAGGGAAAAGGGGAAAAGTTTCGCGAAGTGCCGAGAATGAAAAAGCATGTGATGTCTGGTCGTGAGAGCCAACATTATTTGTGGAACATGCCTCCCCTCTCGCTTTCGTGTTTTCTTGTCCATCCTCATAACTAGAGACGCGAACCGGACAGGCTCAGCTCATATGATCTTCATCCCTTTTTTTTTTTCTTTTTTTTTTAAGTTGGGATCAGAAGTGTTGTTATTCTAAAATTAATTATTTTTCAAACAAGGCTCTTAATTCTTATTGACTGAAAGCCCCTATCCCTATTTCGTTTTTTTTTCTTATTATATTATATGTTTATGCTCTGAATTTAAAATAAGTAATACAAATAGTAATTTTAATGTGTGTGTATACATTATTCACAGGCATCCTTTTATTAAAAAAGATCATATTCTATGCATGGTTGGGTGTGAAATGTGAGCATCTTTGATAGCAGAATTTTAAATATTGGTTTGCCATGTTGTGCTTGTGAGGGACTAATCTTTTTCACTAGACCTAAACCCCATTGGTAATGTACAAATATATAATCCTTCCGTTTAAAAATGTAAGATATTTTTTAAAGAGTTAGATGTTAAAAAGTATAAAATATTTTTAATCTTTCAAGATGTAATTATTATTTTTCTTCTTTTAAAAGTGCTTTTATTGAAGAATAACTTTATATTTATTGTAGGGTGTTTAATAGAAGTAAATATGAAAAAATATGATTTATTTAAAAGTAGGTAATTATTTTATTAAAGAGTGAAATTTAATTAAAAATATATTATATTTTTTAACAGGAGAGTATATATAAATATTAAAGTTTAAATTTAATCTAAAGGTATAAATTAAAATATCATATTTTTCAAGGTTAAAATAAATATAGGCTTAATCCAGGTAAATTTTGGTTCATTTTGTCAGCGTTTAAAAAGGCCAAACTCAGAAACCCTACTATATAGAAAATCCCAATTTTCAAATGTCAAGCTTGAAAAAATTAGGTTTAAACAGACCTGATAGGCCATTTCTATCCCCAACTCTGCACATGACTTCCTTTCCTAATATCTTGCATAGTTTAATGGAGGGGTATGAAGGGAACCCTTTTTTTTTTTTTTTTTGTGAGCACATGAAGCAGACCTCGCCAACAGTATATATTATTCCCTCTGAAATGCGGAAAGCAAATGATAGAACGAAGCCTGCAAATATTGAAGGGAACAGGTTTTAACGAAAGTAAGTATTTTAGTAATCCTTCGTCTGGCCTGATGGGAGTCGAGAGGTTGTATTATTATTTTTTTCTTATAAACACTATTTGTTTTTTTTTTAATTAGAAAGAGATGTATATTTAAAATATACTCTCTTCTCCCAAACCCTCCAATTGGAGCCCTCCTCTTCATTTTTTTTTTCTTATGCAGATGAGGAAGGGAAAACCACAGGCCCCAACCGAGGTAAATGAATGGTCCATTAAAATAATATATTATTTGATTTCATTTAATAATTCACTTTTAATGGTTTTTCAAAATTAATTAATTTATTTATACTACTAAAATTTGATCAGTTGATTAATAATTTAGGACTATAGAGAGAAATTAAATTTATGTCATTTTCACATTTTTTAAAATGCTTCTCTATTTTTATATATTCCTTTGTTTTCTAAAATGATTGTATGGATGTTTAACCAAACAAATCACATAATTCATCGTAAACGATTAGAACACCATCTTTGATCGCATTTAGCAAGGCCATGTGCGGAGGACGTGATTTTGTTTTCAAGCATGATGTGGTTTTAAAATGTTGCCTTTAAATATTTCTTTTTGTAACATTTAATAACCATTGTGTATAGTATTTTTATGCATAAATATATTTTTTTACACTTTTTATTATTTTTATTATACTATATTGATGGATTAATTTATTAAATTATTAATTGTTTAAATTCATTATTATTTATATACAAATTAACTTGCACTAAATAGAAAAGTGTTAACAAAATATTTTCGATTTTCTTGAGATTTAGGGTTCAAATACTATGGATAGAAATCTTAAATTTTTCATATTTTATGTTTACACAATAGTTTAGAAATGTTGTCTATTACTACATGATTGGCAACATTTTAAAACTACTGCAATAAGTTGACATGAAAACTAGTACTTATTCTTAAAATATAAGTAACAATTTTTGAAATGTGTACTATGGCTTTTTATAGTAGGCAACATTGAAATAGGTATAAGTTCAAAAATATTATTTTCAGTTTTTTGCACTAGTTTTCATATCTTTAATTATAATTTTAAATTGTTGTTATAGGACAAAAATGTTATATTAGTTTTCCTGATGTGCAATATATATAATTGGAAAATCTTCACTTATAAACGAGTTTTTAGAAAAGCCAACACTTTACCCATAACATGAAACTTGAAATCTACATTATGAGTGAGCCTTTAAATGATGAATGCAAAAGTTGCTTTAGCTTGATATGCAATTAGATCACAGTATATATCTCCTCTTTTTTTAATGGCTATGCCTCTTCTTTTTATTAAGAAAAAATAATAATAAAATCTCTTAAAATTATATAAATAATAATTTAATCCTTCAAAATGTCACATTTTTATTGAAGTTCTTATAAATCTCTTTATCAATAAATTTTAAATTAAAAATATTATTTTATCTTTATTGAGAATTTATAATTTCTTATTTAATTATTGTTATTCTTTGAAAAAAGTTGTGATTTTTTAAATAGAAGTTGTGATAATAGGGTTTATTATTTTAAGAACTTATTTTTCAATAATAAAGATTACATTTGACAAATTATAATTTTTTATTTAACTCTTGCGATTCACATAATAAAAGTTATTATTCCTCAAGCAAAAGTTATAATTAAAATTTATTTTTTAATAATAAAAATTACATTTAATAAGTTGTGATTTTTTGTTCAACTTTTATAATTTACAAAATAGAAATTATGATTAAAGCTTATTATTTTCAATAAGGATAACATAGTCTTTTCACTATAAAGTTATTGATAAAGAAATTCCTAAAAATTTTATTAGAGTTATAACATTTTAAGAGACTAAATTATCATTTGTATAATCCTGAAAGATTTTATTATCATTTTTGTTTTTATTAAAAGAAATCTTTCTCATATGTTATAGACTTCAATTGATTGTCTTATTGGACTTTGCTTTGGCATCACTTATCATTTTGTATGATTTTTTAATTATCTTTTATTAAAAATAATTAAAAACGGTTGTCATACACACACAAACAAATGTAAGTATATATGTATATGCGTGTATTTATCAAAATTACATATATAAACAAATTTATAAATATCTGATCTACATTATTTTTTTAAAGGAATCAAATACAAATATTCATGCACACCAACATACCAGTCATTTCCCCTGTTGAAAATAACGGTGACTCTTTCTTTACGAGGAAGAGTGACACACACACACATCCACCTTTTTACTAAATGGAGTAAGAAACCACCACAATTTGAGGCGTCTAAATATCTTCTTCAACCTACAACATGCGCGTGTGTTTAACCCCACATACTCACATCATAAATCTTTTGAGTACAGATAGTTTTTATAGAATTATTAAACACATAATATGGGGAAAAAATCTCAATTTGCATTTATTCATGAAAGACATGACTTTTATATATACATACAATATTAGTTAAACGAATGATATCAAATACTTTCTCCATTCAAAAATGTAAGACTTTTTTTAAGAAATCGAATATTAAAAAATGTAAAGTATTTTTAATCTTTTGAGATGTAATCATTGTTCTTTTCCAAAAGTGCCCATATTAATGAATGACTTTATATTTATTACACAGTATTTCATAAGATTAAATATAAAAAAATATGGCTAGTTAAAAAATAGATAACTATTTTATTAAAAAATGATATTCAATTAAAAATACCTTACATTTTTAAACGGAAAGAATAAATAATTTTTATAGAACACACACACAGAAAATAGTGAAAGTTCACATGAAAGCATGATTTTTATTTAAACAAAAACCAAGTCCGACCCATTTTATTGATTATAAAAATAAAATAAAATAAATTATGAGCAAAGCAATGGTTCCAAAGGGATTCACTTGTTGCACTCTCGCACAATTGTTGTTATAAGTTAAATGGGTGTATTTCACATCACTGATTGTTGTCTCAACAAGAATAATGTATTTCATTAACAATGGTTCTAGGCATGTGATTTAGATCCTTCAAATGATATGAAGCGTCCACGCTATTTTGTCAGGTAAAAAATTTAAACTTTTTCAATAGGCTTTTTTTGGGGCAAAGATATCTCTATTAAAGCCAGAGGCAATAAACGTCCAGGAAACAAGGAAATAAAGGGAAAAAACCAGACACAGAATTACAAAGCATAAACAACATTAACCCACACCTATTTTATGCCCTCGAATTGAAGTGTCTGCCCCAATCTTCTGAGCATCCAAAGCATTTGATTTTAGAAGAGATGATAAATGAGAGTGATGCAGGTAGAGATACCCACCCGAATAGGCACACTCCCTTATGAGCATCAGCTGCTACGAGGTCAACTACACGACCCCGTCTAGGGGTAAAACAGAGGGAAAACCCAACCCGTCATAACAGAAATCTCTTGGATAATACTGCGACAATTCCAATCACATTGATCAAACTAAGCAGAAGGAACTCAAAGTAATTTGCAGTCAAAATTCAAAAATCACTTTGTCATGCCCCAAGTCTATTGCTAATAAAAGTGCTCGCTTCAAAGTTCTATCATGAAGGCAAAAAGAGATTTTAATTTATCAATGAAGCCCCATTTAAAGTCACCCAAGTTGTTTCTACATACAGCTTCAATAGCAGTAGGAGAAAATTTATTAGAGAAGGCCCCATCGCTATAAATTTTAAGGTAATCTGATTGTGGTGGAACCCAACTAGAATCGTGAACTGGGGGTGGAGAAGTAACACTCTCAGAATTCACATTATTCACGACCCAAAATTTTTCATGCAGGGACCTCGCTTGTTCTGACACTTGCAACAAGTTTAGGTCTCTTTGATTGAATACTTCATCATTCCTTTGCTTCTATATCAGCCATAACAACCAGCTCATTAGACCAAGATCAAAATCAGAAATCATACAAACAAATTTTAAAATATCCACCCGCCAAGATTCAAAGTTGTGAATATTAAAATAATCAAGCTTGAAACCAAAAGGGCTAGAAAACCATAAGCATATAACCCAGGGAGAAAGAAAAAATTGATGCTCAATCGTTTCATCTTCAGATTCACAAATAGGGAAAACCTTAGGGAACCAACACTTCCGTCTATAAAGTAATGTGTTCACAGTAATAGATTGAGAGAGTCCTCCAGATGAAGTGTTGGATGCGTGGGAGGGTTTTGATTTGCCATATATACCGCCAAACATCACTAGAAATCATGCAGGACGTCTCAGCATAGTTTGCAACTTTCTTTCAATGATTACTTTCCTGTTTATAGCCCAGTTTGACTGTATAAGCCCCATTAGTAACTAGTGCCCATACACATTTATCAGATAAAGCACATGAAGGAATCTGGATTTTCAAAATTTCTACCTTAACATTATCATCAATCAGCCCTTGAAAAGGAGAGAGATCTCATGTACCATTGATTATCAAGTGAGAAATTCGATTGTGCTTGACTATGAAATTAGAATTATCAACAGGTTTACTTTGGAATTTAGTAGTAGGAACCTAAGGATCATCCCAAATTTTGATTGATTCTCCATTACCTAAATCCCAAAGGATATTTTTCTTTAAGAAATCCCGCCTATCAATCATACTAGACCAACACGTTGAAGCTTGTGAGGCCTTCTTTGCATCAACAAATGCACCTTTGGGAAAATAAATACTCTTGAGAACTTTAACCCACAAACTCATATGGCTGGTTAATGATTCTCCACGCTGTTTTGGCAAGAGCCTCATTCAATATGACAAAGTCCTTGAAGGCCATACCTTCTTCACTCTTTAGCCGAGACAAGTCATTCCAAGCTTTCCAATAAGTCTTCACCACCCTACCAAAAATTCGAGATGAGACTGTGAATCCCCTTGCAAGTTTTTATTGGAAACTTAAAATGGCTCATTGGATAAATTGGGATAGCACTAAGCACAACTTTAATCATCACCACCCTACCTGTAAAAGATAAAGTAGATATTTCCCACCCTTAAACCTTGCGGTAGATTCTTTCCTTGAAATAAGCAAGAGCCTGTTAGTTAGTTTTTCCCCAGATGCTTGGGATGCCCAAATATTTCCCAGATCTGTCACTTCAGGAATACCCAGAATTTGACACACTCTAGCTCTATCATGTGCAGGAGCATATAACGAGAAGAAAATGCTTGATTTACCTAGATTCGCCATTTGACCCGAAGCTATACAGTAGAAGTTTAATAATTTAGCAAGATTTTTACAATTTCAGGCATTAGTATTCATAATGAGAAGGGCGTCATCTGCAAATAAGCAATGAGTAAGTTCTGGGCTGCTAATGGTGAGCTTATTAATCCCCTTGAGAAGCCTTTGATGTTGAGAATCATTGACCAAGCTTGATAGAACTTTAGCAACCAAGATGGAGAGGTAAGGAGATAGGGGATCACCTTGTCTTAAGCCTCATCCTGGAACAAAAGAAGCAATTTGCTGCCCTAAGACACATATGTTAAGGCTAACAAATTCCAAAAACTTCATTATAATGTTGATCCAATTAGAGTAGAAACCAAATTTAAACAGAACTTTCTATAAAAAAATCCCATCCAATTCTATCATAGGCCTAGCTCGTATCCATTTTCAAAGAAAATTCCAATTTATTACCAGTTTTCTTTCCCCTCAAATAATGGCACACTTCATTAGCAATAATAATGTTATCATGAATGAAATGCCTAGGAACAAAGGCACCTTGATTCCAAGAGATGCGTGTATCAAGAATAGGTCTCATGCGATTTGCAATAGTTTTTGAGATGACCTTATAAGAGAAATTAAAAGATCAATAGGGCAGGATTGAGAAACATGTTTAGGCTTGTCCACTTTAGGAATAAGACTAATATTAGTATTATAAATAGCCTCAAGAGAGCACTTACCATAAAAGAATTCCAGAATCATAAAGCGGATGCTATCACCAATCTCAGTCCTAATGGAATGATAGAAATTTACTTGAAAAGCCATCGGACTGGGTGCCTTGTCGACACCAAGATTAAATACTGCTTCTTGAATTTCTTCTTTAGTTACAGGGCGCATAAGGACAACATTAGTTTGATCATCGATTCTAGCCTGTAAACAACTTAACGCTTTATCCATTCTCCTAAGTCCCAAAGCCGTAAAGGGTTGTTGAAAAAAGCCTGCCACATTGGTTAAGATATCTCCCTTCTCCGTCAGCCATCTTCTGTCATCATCTCTAAGGCTTAAAATACTGTTACGTTGGCATCTTCTAATAGTGCTGAGATGAAAAAACTTTTGAGTTACGAACATTAGATTAAGCTAAGAAATACGAGCCCTTTCCCACTAATAATGTTCCTCATTATCTAAAGCCTTTTCAATCAAAGTAGAAATATCACAAATTTTCTGAGACTTACTGTCATTGAGATCACCTCGTGTCTATTCATACAGTCGTTTCTTCAGATCCTCAATGATTTTTTATTGTTTAGGAATGCCTTCTTGCTCCATTTACTCAGCTCTTTTCTACATGAATCAAGATTGAATAAGAAGTCAAATATGAGAATCTTCTTTTGACCATTAGAAGTAGCCTCGCCCTTCTTAATAGTAAGTTTGGAAAAAAAAAAAATCCTTATGAGTTGCCCAGATAGCCTCAAGTATGAAAGTTCGAACATTTTTAGTATTTTGGCAAATTAGATGCATCAGAAGTAAGTGACGGTCCAAACCTATAGGGTCGATATTAAACACCTGGACATCAAGAAATGCTTTCGTTAATTTTAAATTCCCATAAGCAGGACTAATCTGATCCTGCACCAATCCTTCCCTCATACGCCTATTACAAAGTGTATTTATACCTATTATTGCCCAAGTCTATTAAGCCATAATCAACAAGGAAGATCTAAAAATTGATTATTTTTTCTCATAGCTCTTAGGTTCCTCCCCCCAATTTTTCAAACTGAGATAATATGTCATTAAAGTCACCTAGGCAGAGCCAAGATTGGGTGATATTTCGTTCGATTTTCTTGACTTCCTCCCACACAAGCTTCCTCTCCTTCTCTTTAAGGTGACTATAGATGAAAGTAATAAAATTAGGCAAATCAATAGTAGAAGCAGTAACCATAATGTGAATAATATTAGGCAAAAATTATAAGATATTAACCAACATATCATCATTCCACCACAAAGCAAGACCACCACCAATTCCAAACGGTTCTACCAACCATTCCTACGTATGCCTATATCTTCGCCGCACCTTCCTGACCACTTGACTTTTTTGTTTAGTTTCCATCAAAAAACAATTTGGGGTTTATTGCAAGAGTATTCCTCTTCGCGATTTTTAACTGTCAAGGAAACCTCCGAATCCTGACAGTTCCAAGCGAAGATTTTCATTGTGCACCAGTGACTGGTTCCATTCGACCACTGGCATTAGTAAATGAAGAAAGAGAATCATAATTACCTGAGCCATTGAAGACGAACTAACTAGGTGGGAAGTCAATTTCGTACAGATTGGGCTTTGAAGGTGAGGTCTTCATGAAACTGCTCTCAACCTTATTTTGAATATGGCGTTTGAGGGCCCTAAAGCTTCTTCTCGTTCCTTTGTTTGTTTTTGCTGTAGCAAATTCATTCTCAGCTAACTCAAATTTTGATTCTGTTTTGAAGGAGAGCTTCTGTCATCTTCGATTTCTGTCAGGGGATACAACCTCTTCTCCATGCCATTTTAGATTAATTCCATTCAAACCCACTGTTATAGCTGACATTGGAGAGAGCCCATTATAAAGGATGATAGCTCTAGACAAATCTTCACTTTCTCTTGGCAAGTCCACTTTGTAATTCACGACTGGGCTAGTAATCATGCCCATGGCATTCAAAAAACTGGGCTTTAGACTTTCCATTAGCTTGTCCTTCGCCTTTATGTGTGGCTGATCTGTCACTGCATTATGAGGCCAGTATTGGACCATTTATAGCGATTGCATTTGATTGAGATTGCATAATATCCTCCCCCTTGTTTCTCATGTTTCAATTCTTGTTAATAGAATCCTTATCTTTCCCCCAAAATCCGCTAACACTTTTGAAACGCTTGCTCTTATGATTATTTCTAGATTTGGATTTTTTATGGGCCTTGTCAGCTTCTTGGTTTTTCTAGTTGCCAATGGGCATGTTTATCACTATCACTTCCGACCACCCCTCCTTCACCATCACTAAAGCTTCCTTAAAAATCTTGACATTGGTAGTGCTTAGCCAATTCCCAAATTCATTAGCCTCATCACTACTACTATCTTCCACTTCCTGTTTCTTCATGCAACTCTTAACATCATGACCAATTCGTCTACAACAATAGTAAAAGTTTTGAAACCTTTCATATTTTTCATTTACCCACCCTGGTTCCTTTTTTGGTCTTGGAATCCAAAATCCATCTACTAAAGGTTCCTTCAAATTCACGTTCACTCTGGCTCGGATGAAGCTTCTTGTGAATTTGTCCCCCATTTCAGGATTTTCGGGCATCATAACTTCTCCTACAGCATTGCCAAGAATCACAACATTCTCCTTATCAAAAGCTTCTAAAGGAAGGCCATGGAATTGCACCCAAAAGGGTGATGATGAGAAATCAACCTCTTTGTACACCATATAATCCTTCCAAATTTGCAAGCTTAAAAGGTGAAATTGTATAGACCAAGCTCTTCCTTTAGGATTCAATAGTAATCGTCAGCCTTATCAAATTTGAACAAGAAAGTATTTTTATCCTCAACAATTTCATATACCTTAATCTCCTCATCGAGATTCCAACCCATTTTTATCATTGAAATCGCCACAAGTTTGTTACGATTTTTGTCACTAATGATCACCCCCACCAAAGCGCCTCCTTTTCTCTCCTTTTTTCCTTAGATTGAGAACCACCTCTTCTGTTTCTTTTTACCACCACTGCTTTGTCTAGCCTCCATAGCTCCATTCTCCAAAAAAAAGAAAGAAGCACACAAGATAGAAAAGCACTTAGTCACAGCAAAAACTCACTACCTCACAATCATAGGACACTCGCACTTAAAAAAGATGGGAACTCATGGAACCAATCATCAGTCACTCCAATAATGGCAATGATTAAGGTCACGCTCGAACCTCACAACTCCCACAAAGAATAGAAAGGGACTGCCACAGAGGAGAGATAATTTTTTTTTTTTTAACCTTTTCAATAGGCTAAGAAGTTAAGTTATTCCACTATGCTTTTTCATCACTTGGGATGTTGATTATTAGTTGTGGCTATTAATTTCCACAGACAATTCTATTATATAGAGTACTTCTTATTTCTTATACATTTTAAAGAGAGTGATTCAATAATTTAGTGAAGGCAGGGGAATGGGGCCATGGGAGAGACAAGTCAATCATTGCGAAACCCTTGAAGATTCTCACTTTTTTATTTTAATTATAAAGCAATCCTTCTGACACGTGGCTCTCCCCACGCGTTTCCCTCCTCCTATTTTTTTTCCCATATGCTTCCCCCGATTGTTTCTCTCCTTCCGTTTTTTTTTTTTAATATTTCATTTTATAATTTTCTTAGTCAAGAGTCAAGACTCAATTAGTTAATAAATGTAATGAACGTAATAAATTTTGAAAAATATTTATCTATTATAAAATTTATGACTATTCATTTTATTCGCAAAACTATATACGAGGCAATAATTTATAAGTATCTTATTAATATTTTTTCAGTAAAAAAGAGGGGGAGGGAGGAATTTTAATGATACCCCCAAATCCCTTCCTTTTTCTCAACCAAATAAGGGAGAAAATTTATCAATATTCTGTTTAAATGAATGAGGATTTAATTTCAAATTTGGAGTTGAACTTTGAATATATAACAGTTTATGGATTTAGATTTTGTTCAAATTCAACTTTATAGATTTGGATTTTGTTCAACTTTAAATTCAAGTTTTAAGCTCTTTGTAATTTCAAATTTTATTTAAATCTTAATTATTTAAAATTTTAGTCACTCTAATTCTTTAGTTTTCTTCATTTTTTAAACTATTGGTATCTTCGTTAATCTCGTGATTTCTCTCATCACTTATTTTTGTCTCTCATTGATTAAGGAAAAAATATCATCCCTCTCAATCTTTCATTTATGTTTCGAATTTCAGCTTGCCTCTTCTACTTTTCATTTTTTTACACTATCAAAATAGAGAATTTAATACATGATTTAAAATTTAAATATAAATTTATTAATGCAGACATTACATAAAAAATTTTCTGATCAAACATAGTGTGTGTTCGATTTTCAGTTTGTTAAAAGTTTATTTGACGAAAATAAATTCAATGAAAGTTAGTTGTTGTAACGAAATTTGTGTTTGTACATATTTTTTTCAAAAGTTAATTTGGTATACTGAAAGTTGTTTAATTTGTGATAGTGAAATATACTTTTGAATGTACAATTATCAAAAAGAGCATTAATTTCTGATAATTTGTAATTTTTATTATACAAATGTAATATATTTAAAATATTTAAAAAATGTGATAAAGATTTTAAATAACATAAATTTTGATCTATAATGTTAAAAATTTAATCTCTAGTTATTTATATTTTTTAATTTTTAATTTTAAAAAATGTGATAAAGATTTATAATTTTTATTATACATTAATGCTAAAAATTAATATGATTAATTATTTAATTTTAAATGCTAAAAATGTGATGCCTAATTATTATTATTGAAATAATAGTTATATTTTTAATGAATTAACTATTTTTTAAATAAAAAATAAGAAATTAAATTTGGGATAATATAGTTAAATAACATTCTACTTTTTAAATTCATTTTTCAAAAATTTTAAATAGTTACATTTTAAAAATTTACTTTTAGCTTGTTTGAATGTATTTTCAGAATGTACTTTTCTACAAAATATTTTACCTAAACAACTTTCAACTTTTTAAAGGTAAAATTTTACTTTTTGAATGTGAAAAGTAAGAAAACCAAACAGACTCTATAGTTTTAAAGATGAAAATTAATCATTAATTTTTTTTAATAAAATAAAGGGCCTTAGCCCAACATTAAGAAGAAACGGAAAAAAAAAAAAAAGTGAGATCCAAATCTCTAACTATCCTGGCGCACGAGGGTCCTCAAGTGTTAAGGGACCGTGTTATGTCTGCTTTATCATAGGCACTGGCCACATGGGAGTACCATCAGTTGGCATTGATTCGCACACAAATAGTAACTCTACTGGGCCTTATTAGTCTCAGCTTACTCTTTTTTTTCTTGGGCCACCCTCTCAATTTATGCATTTAGACTATTCGATATCCAGCATGACTGTATCTTTAGGTTTAGCTAATTGGAGTCAAGGCTTCGGCCTTCCTTTGTTAAAAAAAAAAAATTAGAGAGGCCCAATAAAACCCTGAAAGTTTTAAAACATGTCTCATTTTTATCTTGGACAATTTTAAAAGGAATAATGTATTTAAATTCTTTTAATCTTACATATTAAAAAAAATTCTTTAACCACATTAATGATAAAACGGTGAATATAATGGAAAAAAGTGACAAAACAATATCTCCAAAATATAAAACACACAGTCAAGTACTGGAAAATGTAATAATTATTATTTAGTTTATCAGTTTGATATTTTGATTCTTAACAAAATTACATTTTTATTTTTAATGACTATTATGAGAGCTGACTATTTTGTTTAAGTTATTGACTAAAAAAAAATAGAGCATGACAACTTTCTTTTACAAATTTGTTTATCAATTAAGTTGAATTAAAATATTCATTTTTTAATTCATTTATAAATAATAAATTCGTGGAAAAGGAATAGTAATTTTTTATTCTATGCTATTCAATAACACATTCAAATAACCATTTCCTACACTAATCACTAATGACAAACATGTCATTTCATCAAAAATCAAAATGTCTAATGATAATTTTTTATAAACTAAATAATAATTATCACATTTTTTAAAATTTTATTGTTATTTTATATAATTTGTAGCTTTTTTTCTTCTCATTTTGCCAATAATAATGGGGGGAAATATTAATGAAATCAGCTTTTCTTTTCTTTTTTCTTTTTCACTTTACTTACCATCACTTTTCCTTTTAAATTTTAATTTTAATTTTTCGAGAGCTTTAATATATATCGGCTTCGGCTCCAAACAATTTAAACCCGAAATAAAATGTAAAACTATGAATCTATCTAATCAAAAATAAAACCTTAAAAAAATAATAATAATAAACAAGTCAGTCATTCATAAGTAAAAACATTTGACCCAAAAAAAAAATCTAAATAAAAACAAAAATAATAAAGTAAACGGTGTCGTATAGTCAACTAGTTGTTTGTGCGAGGTTTGATTAATGCAATGGATCTAAAATGCAGACAATTGACCGACGAAGAGGAAGAAGAATCATCAGGCGCCATCTTCCTGGGAGGCGCACAGGGCAACCACGATGAACTCGCCACCGGCACCGATTCGGTGGCCGGCATTTTTATTGATTGTGATCCTTTCAGTTGTTATCTCTCCTTCAGTGGCGATCTACTGCGATGAAGATGACTGCTATGATCTACTGGGGTGATCTCCTCTTCTTCCCAATTAGATGTTCACTTTTCTCGACTTCTATAATCCAGTTGATTGGCTCTGACTCACGATTTTAATGTAGGGTTTCTCAGACTGCTAATGCTTCGGAAATCAAGAAAGCTTACTACAAACTCTCTTTGAAATAGTAAGTTGTCGCCATTTTTGTTTTTATCTATTTTCAAGTAATTTGTTTTTTAGCTTCTTGTTTAAATTTTCAAAATGGAAGTTTTTCATCTTTTGTTTATATACCAATGTTAATTTCAGTCACCCAGATAAAAACCCTGATCCAGAATCGAGAAAGCGGTTTGTTAAAATTGCCAATGCTTATGAGGTGCGTTAGTTCTTGTTTTAATTCTTTATGTGGTTATCAATTTTGGAAATCTGAATATGGAAATGATTAAAATGTAGGCTATATTCTCCTTTTAGAAACTAAATTGCATCTTTAAAAAAATTCCTCTAAAGGCTGACGAGTTTAAAACTTCATGTAAATTCGAAGTCATTGCTTATCTAACCACATGATTCTTGAGAAATGATATTAGATGATGGAAACTGAACTTGTTTACAGATTTTGAAGGATGAGGCCACACGAGAACAATACGATTACGCAATTGCACATCCAGAAGAGGTAATTATATCTTAGTTTTCTAACGGCTGCTTTAAGTTAGAGAAAATGAATGGAAATGCATAGTGAGCATTGTTGTTTATTTAGTCCATAGATAGGGCTATAGCTTGTTTAATAATGTATTTTGATATGGTTTAAGAAATATTGGTTGGTTCATTGACATGTATGCTGAAGCCATCTGTCTTTGTTTGCATGGTTTTTGTCTAGGATGTTCAAGAAAAGTTTGCTTCAAAGACATAAGGGCTGGCATGGATTTCGTGTTCTAGGAAGATCTTTTAGTTAATAAGGAGATGCTTGGTCTTTTTGTGACAGATTAAGTAGCTGACCATTTCATATGAAGTAAAATGAATATTTTAGTAAAGTGATCATAACTTATCCACATGTAAATGGTTTGCCACGTCTTCAATGGCTTTGAACTTAAATGGACTCACTTGATTGCTTCTTCAGTTCAGGGTCTGAAAGAAATGCAATTTTAGGTTCCTTGTGTTTTAACTATTTACAAAATCTGAGTTGCAATTTTTCTCATCACAGGTATTTTATAATACTGCACAGTACTATCGGGCATATTATGGTCACAAAACGGTGAGTTTTTGTTTTTTCACTTTCAGTGGTACAAGTAACAAATTCTGTTTTAGAACACATCACATGGTTGAATGATCAATCTGACTTGATTCTAACTTCACATTATTGCCTACTTTTACCTGCTAGGATCCTCGTGCTGTGTTGGCTGGCCTTCTTATTATTCTTTCAGGTTTCCAGTATCTAAATAGGTGGACAAGGTATAATCAGGTACCGTATTTTCAGTTAAATATTTATGACATTTTCCTGATGTCAGACCGTGTGCTGGAAATACCAAATGTTGATTCAACTATTTCAGCTAGGAAACTTGCATTTTTTGCATTCATATATCTATTCATGTATCATACTCTATGCTTTAGTCTGCCAGCTAAAGCCTCAGGAGCGATGCCTACAATACATCGTATCATAGTACTTGAGTCATGATTTGAATTGTGAATTGAAAGGCCAATTTTTGAATTGTAAATCGTGTGAAATTGTAAAATTTAGCAACACGTTGAAAAAAAAAAAATGCAATGTAAACAATATATACCATAAAAGAATTGCTTGAATTATAGAATTAAATGTATGCCTAAAGTTTGGGTTTTGGATGTGTATATATGGCAATGTGGTTCAGGGCAACTTGCTCCAACTTCTTTTCAATTAAAATGATTTTCTCTGTTAATTTCATTTGAAAGTAAAAGAGGCTTTTAATTGGATCCATATTGTCCAGGTAAGATTTTTTTTTTTTTTTTTTAGGCTATCTTCTTCATTAAGTGTGTCAGGTCATAAAGGACCTCACTTTGTGACCCAATGGAATGGCATTGTTTTGAATTGCTGTTTCTGGCATTTCAAAAGTATGTATCTGATTTTTTCTGATTCAACCAACAATCGGTATTGTTTTCCTTTTGGATTTTGTCAGATCATACACTCTGAATCGTGAATTGTGTGTTTTCTACAACCATGCTGTAATATCAAAATTTTCCTATTTATGCCAAATGCATTGCTGTAAGGAGCCATTCTTGGATTTGTTGTAAAACAGTTCAAGTAAATGCTTGGTCTTAGTAAGCCAATTATCTGTTTATGGACTCTGTTCTTGACGCATCTAAGTTAAGTTGGGTTGTATTGTCACAACCTAAGTTTCACATTCACAAATCAGGGATGATAATTTCTCTGCCCCACATATCCAAGGAACGCTGGTGATGGTTCCAACTAGTTTTTTTAATGCGAATTTGTGATGCATGGTAAAGGCTTAGAGTAGGTCAGAGATATGTGTCTGTATGTGCTTTCAAAGATACTTGCTACACCTTTTTCGGTCAGATCGATGCATCTATTTGTTTAAAAACTTTCTGAAAATTAAAACACTAAACTCATTGCACTACCATTTATTTGTTTTCAGGCCATAGACATGGTCAAGAAGACACCGGCATACAAAAATAAACTAAAGGCGTTGGAACTTGAACGCAGTGGAGGAGTTACAAACAAGAAGAAGACTCAGAAGAATATGGATAAGTATGATTATTGTCCTTATTCAGTAGTAATAAATTTCTGGTCTTGGATGTATTTTCTTTATGTCAACTGAAGTGTTTACTGCTTTTCCCATCCCTGCAAACTCTTATTCTCTCCTCTTCTGAATTAATTTTCATAATACATAAGATTGGGCTTTGCTGACCATATTTTTAAAACCTTCAATGCTGACTAACGCAATGTGAGGAATGTATGCATGCAGGAAAATGCAGGAAGACCTTAGCAAAGAACTTGAATTGCAGATAAAAGGGGCTGAAAAGCCCATTGTATGGGAACTTATCGGTGTCCGCTTTATTCTCTTGCCTTATACTTTAAGCAAGGTTGAGCTCAAAACTCTTTATCTGGAAACTGAAGTTTGAAAAGGAATTATGTAGATATTGTTTTTCATCTAGTTTAATTACAATTTCGTAGTGTGTGCTATTCCTTCCTGGAAGCTGATCCATGAATTTCAATGATTTTGATCAATGTTCAAGTATTAATTAGTTTTGTCCTCCATTCAGTTGTTGTTGTGGTCTGGCTGTTGGTTTTGGAGATACAAGGTCAAGCAACATCCCTTTACTTGGGAAGATGCTTCTTATCTGACACGAAGGTCCCTTGGTGTACCCCAGGATGTTTGGAGAAGCATGGGTGAGTACAAATTATTCTAGATTGAGCTTTCTTCTGAAGCAGCAAGCAAATAAGTTAATTATTTTTATTGTGTTTTGTTTAATAGACGAAGGGATAAAGGAAGACCTTGTGTTAAGGCGTTTATGGAAGAAATCAAACCTGGAGAGCTACGTTGCAGAGATGCGTAAAGAATCTAAGCGTAGAAGATAGCTGTTTTGTTGTAGCTTTTCCACCTGATGCTTCTGCTTTTGATGTACGAGCATTTTACTGATGTGGGTTCAGCACAAGTGTATTTAACATAATAGTGAAAATTATAATTCTGTTTTTGTTTTTATTAAGGATGAAGAGGGAAGAATTTAGTTACAGATGATGAAATTAAAAATAGATGGGAGACTTATTTTTCTAAACTTTTCAATGATGGAGAGGATTCATCTAGTAACTTGGAGGATTTAGTAACTGGTGAAGGAAAACAAAATTTGTCATTCTATCGAAAAATACGTGATAAGGAGGTAAAGGAAGCTCTTAAGAAAATGGCAAATGGTAGAGCTAACGGACTTGATTGTATATCTATCAAAGCGTGGAAATGTTTAGGTAAAGAAGGGGTGAGATGGTTAACTAAGTTATTTAATGTGATTTTACGGTCCAAGAAAATGCCTGATGAGTGAAGGAGAAGTACATTAATTCCTATTTATAAAAATAAAGGAGATATTCAGAATTGTACTAACTATAGGGGGATTAAACTCATGAGCCACACAATGAAATTGTGGGAGAAAGTAATTGAGCACAGGTTGAGATTGGAGACAAGTATTTCTGAGAATCAATTTGGTTTTATGCTAGGTAGATCAACTACAGAGGTGATTTATCTACTAAGGGGATTAATGGAAAAGTATCGTTGTAAAGATAAAGATCTACACATGGTTTTTATTGATTTGGAAAAAGCTTATGACCGTATACCAAGAGAAGTGCTTTGGAAAGCGTTGGAAAAAAAGGAGTACGGATTGCTTATATTAAAGCCATACAAGATATGTATGAGGGGGTAAAAACTAGTATAAGAACGCCTAGTGGTCAAATAAAGGATTTTCCTATAAAGATTGGACTACATCAGGGATCATCTCTGAGTCCTTATTTGTTCAACTTGATTTTAAATGTTTTGACGGAACATATTCAAGAGGAAATCCCGAAATGTATGCTCTTCGCGGATGATATAGTTTTTATAGCAGAGACAAGAGAAGAGGTTAATTGCAAACTTGAGTTATAGAGGAGGACATTGGAGTCGAAAGGTTTTCGTCTGAGTAGAAGTAAGACGGAATATTTATATTGTAAATTTGATAAAGGACTATTCGAAAATAATTTGAAAGTGAAATTGGGAGATCAAATTATACCTCAAGTGGAAAAGTTTAAATATTTGGGAGCCATTATTCAAAATGATGGCGAAATCAGTGGAGATATTTCACATAGAATTCAAGCTGGGTGGTTTAATTGGAGAAAAGCTAAAGGAGTTATTTGTGACCGTAAGGTGCCTAATAAACTTAAAGGAAAGTTTTATCGTACTGCTATCAGACCGGCAATGTTATATAGTAGTGAATGCTGGGCTCTAACGGGACAGCAAGAGCATAAAGTTGGAGTAGCAGAGATGAGAATGTTACGATGGATGTGCGGACATACACGTAAAGATAAAATTCGAAATGAGCACATACGTGAAAAAGTGAGGATGACACCTATTGAGGAAAAAATGGTAGAAAATCGGTTGAGATGGTTTGGGCATGTACAAAGAAGACCAAGGGAGGCACCAGTGAGAAGAGTGGAACATATAACTTTGAGTCCGATTAAGAGAGGTAGAGGAAGGCCTAAGAGAACACTCTTGGAAGTTGTTGAACGTGATCTCTTAATTAATAATATTTCTAAAAGCTTAATAAATGATAGAGCACAATGGCGTCTTGCAATCTATGTAGCCGACCCCACCTAGTGGGATAAAGGCTTGTTGTTGTTGTTGTTTGTTGTTGTTGTTATAGTCTGTTAAGATGGTTTGGGCATGTGTAAAGAAGACCTAGGGAGGCACCAGTGAGGAGTGGAACATATAACTTTGAGTCCGATTAAGAGAGGTAGAGGAAGGCCTAAGAGAACACTCTTGGAAGTTGTTGAACGTGATCTCTTAATTAATAATATTCCTAAAAGCTTGATAAATGATAGAGCATAATGACGTCTTGCAATCCATGTAGCCGACCCCACCTAGTAGGATAAAGGCTTGTTGTTGTTGTTGTTGTTGTTGTATCATTTTTGGAGGGGGTGGTGGAGGGAGGTATATTCTAGTCACCAAAGAAATAATGGATTCATAAACATTTGATGCAAAAGTTTGACACATGACAACTTTAAAAGATTTGTCTCAAGCCATGGAGTATAAGCTGACATAGAAAACCGTGATTGCATGATTAGCGCAGCTTTGGGCTTTATGAAGAAACGATTAAGGAAAAATCACAATAGGATTTCTGGAGCATTTTATTTATAGAAAATGATCAAAGAATTATAAATTCACTTTGCAAGATCAGTGGATCAAAATGTAATTAAATTTTAGTATAACAAGCAAAATTACTCCTCATTTGTTTTTTTAAAAAAATCTCACTATCACTAGTTGTTGGAGCTCCAATGGTCATATTGCCTGCTGGAGCTCCAGTGCAAGTCACCAGACTAGTGAGGGAGACAAATTAAATTTTTTAAGTTGGCCAAAAGGAAGTTTGATCCCACATTTCCTTGGCCACTAAAAGTATGGTCAGTCACTAAGCTAGCAATTTCTTTCAATTATATAATACAAATATATATGTGTATATATATATATATATATTATTTTGTGTTCACTTTTCATGTCAATGTTTGTTAGAAGTTTAATGGTTATTCATCATTTTACAAATAGTTATTTATTAAATTACTAATGAAACTTATTACAAAATTTAATATGCACTGATTTTTATAAATATTTGTTTGTTTTTATTAACAAAAGTTTATATAAACTCATTATTTTATTAAAATTTACTTGTCAATTTATTAAAAAAATTTTAAAGTTAATGACAAGACTTGTCATTTCAAAAATAGTTACTTATTAAATTAATAATGGAAACTTATTAAAAAAATTCAATATGGAGTTTTTTTTAATAAATATTCACTTGTTTTTATTACTAAAAACTTACATGTTAAAAATTTATATGAGCTTGTTATTATTTTAAAATTTACTTGTTAAATTATCAAGAAAAATTTTCAAAGCCAATAATGAAACTTATCATTTTATAAATAGCTACTTGTTAAATTAACAATGAAAATTTGTTAAAAAAATTAAATATGTAGTGGTTTTTATAATTGTTTAGTTACTTTTATTACTAAAATTTTACATGTTAAAAGCTTATATGAATTTGTTATTTTACTAAAATTTACTTATTAAATTATTATGATAAATTTTCAAAACTAATAATAAGACTTGTCATTTCACAAATAATTACTCGTTAAATTTTAACAAGTCTCATTAATAATTTAACAAGGTTATTTATAAAATGACAAATAAACATTAAACTTCTAACAAGTTTAATATGAAAAGTGAAAATAAAATTAAAAATATGTATATAAAAATTTGCATTATATAAAGAAATTGTATTAAAAATACGTCTAACTATCTTTTCACCTTTTGGTGGTTAAGAGTTTGAGGGTCCAAATTCCTTAAAAGAATTTAATTTGTCTCTCTCTCCAATCCAACGATCAATGTCCAAGCTCCGGCAAGCAGTTCGGCCATCGGCGCTAGCGCTCCAGCATTTGGTCCAGCAAGTAGTTCGACTACTAGCGACCAATGATAGTGATTTTTTTTTTTAAATAAGAGTAGTTTTATATTTTCACACTAAAAAATTATATTTTGATCCTTTACTCTTATAAGGTGAATTCAAAATTCTTTAGTCTTTTTTTATAAATAAAATATTTCAGAGGTCCTCCACTGTGATTTTTCCAACTATTAATGACCGATCATGTTGATAATTTGTAAATAATTCAGTATGGAATCCTATGCAAATTCCTGCTGATTTTATTTGTTGGATTCTCTGGTTAATTCTGTGTTCCATTCCACCCAGCAAAGCGGAAAGTTGGCCCAAAGGGAAACAGCTAGTAAAATAAAAGAAATAAAAGAAAATTAGACCCGTTTGACTTTGGAGAGAGAGTTGCAATTGGTGATTATTTGCCTATATAGCGATATTCTTAACAGATTTTATTGTATCTACAATTGATAACATTCAATCAAGCATTTTTATCATTGTAAATTCATTATTTGTGATTCTTCAGTAATTTTTTAATAAAACACTCATTTATCATTCTCCTATAAAAAATTTGGAAAAAATAAATAATAAATTTTAAAATTTAAGTTTTGATGATGAGGTTTTGATTTAGCATTAATTTTTGGTCAAATGAAAAAAAAGTAGTTACGAAGTCATTAGTTAGGAGAATTTAGTAGCTAAAGGTGAGAAAAGAGACAAAAATTTCCATAACATTATTTAAATTAATGTAAAAATAATCAATCCATTAAATCATTCAAATGTTGACTGTTTAATTGACAATTAAGCAGACGTTAAAATATTTTTTTTTGACATGGACTAAAAAAATGTAAAAATACCTAAAAAGTTGTTGGCCAGAGGCATTCAGTAACTTAAAATGAGAAAAATGATAAAAATACCCATAACGTCACTTTAATAAGTGCAATAGTGATCAATATGTTAAATTTTTCAAACGTTAACCGTTTAATTAACATCTAAAAAGAAATTGATCATTTTTTCACTGACGTAAACTAAAAAATATTCTCAAGTAAAATTATACATAGGTTGATCGATCATTATATGATAATGAGTCTCTACTTGAGGCTCTAGTTTTGACAACGAAGGCAGCAAATGAGGGTGATTTACCTTTTCTTCCATCATCTCCTAAGTCTCACTTTTATTGTGCTCACTGCCACTTCTTTTTCTACTTTTTCTTTTTCTCAAACCACCCTTCCTTCATTTTTTTGCTACTTCCTTACTTCAAATGTAGGGAATATGAATAACATATGAAAAAATATCATTTTGACCGAATAAAAAGTTAAATCTCTTGTTTTATTAAAATTCTTAAACCATTAAAGTTTCTTCTCAATGATTTGGATTGATAAAGAAAATTCACTTCAACCATTTCCTTTCCAACTTCACATCTCTTCTTGGCCAACTCAATGGCTTAGGTTTAATGCTCAGTTGAGAGGGCTCTAAAAGATCGTGCTTAATCGTCAACAATTTCTCCAATAAGCCTTTGCTTAAGAAATGTTTGAAATTTCCATTAAGGGTATCAT